TGCCATTTTTGTACAGGAATTTTGTATGCCAGATGAAGTATGCCTTCGAAAAATCGAATCCTAGCGTGCAACACAGATAGGCCAAACTGTATTGCGTCGATATCGATAGTTTTCTTTATGTTGAGGTCATTGAATTCTTTTGATGTAGCACCACAGATGTAGCATCTCATAGTTGAAGTCGTAGAAGTTGCGGCGTTACACACTTTTGCATCAACCATAGTTAGAGTCATAATGTGTTTTGTTCTTAAGAAAATTTCGCTGAGTACGAATTCACTGTATTTTAAACAATTTATAGCCTCTTCGACTTTTGCGATTTCAGATTTAGTAATATCCACTGTTTCCTTTACAAATTGGATCCTTATGGGTCGACAGAATCGTGGCGAAGAAGGAGTTGGATTTTGCCAAACCACTTTTTTGTTTGAGCCGCATACTAATTGTAACGGAACAAAGCAGCTTTGGAAAATGTTGCTGTCACTCGCGTCCAAATCATGCATTTTTTGTTTGTATTGTGATTGTTGAGATCCGTCACATCCCCATTTTGAAATAAGGGTCAACGATTGACGCTCTTCTGGACTTAATTATTTTAATACGTCTTCTAAGTATGTTGCTAAGCGTTTAGCTGTATGGTCCATTAGATCCTGCAGGTTAATTTCAGCACATGTTTCAGTTATCCGATAGGCATCTTTCGCCGGATAACAAGTCTGTTTAGCTTGCTGTAACAATTTGTAGCTCGGATAAAACTTCTTATTGCTATTTCTAATTATTTCATATTGTCGCCTTGATAGATTAGCTTCGACAAACATTGAAAGGGCGGTTGTTGGATCTTGTTGAAATGATTTTTCACACTGCTTGGTTATTTTGTATGCTTTTTGATATGCTTGAGCTGTCTGTGGAGAGTTGGTAATGTCTTTTAGAATATTCGATGCAATTCTCTCTCCCGAACTTTGAAGGCATGTCTGAGCAGCATGTATTAACAATTCTTTATCAACAGCACTGCGTACAACCTGTGTTTTTCTGCGTTTACTCCTTTCACTTGACTCCAAAAATGACTTTGTTGGTCGACCAGAAGAACGCCGTTTAACCCTCGGTATTTCGAATGTTCCTTGTAACCACTTATCATTCTTTTGAAGGAAAAGCTGTGATTTTTTATGAGCTTCCATCCATTTTTTCTTAAACTGAGACTTCAAATAGGATAATTTATGCTTTACTTCCTTCTTTTCTTCCTCACAATACTCATCTTGTGATAAAATAAATCTCTCGAGATAATTCAAATTTTCGTCAAAATTTTGCAAGTTTTGTTCCTGCATTTTGTTAAAAAGGTATCTACGAGTTACTACTCGCATCCCTGAAGTACCCCCACCTTCTGCAACAAAAGGAGAACTCGTTTAAACAAAAAATATAATAAAAGGCAAATTCGATGAATTTCTACTCTATCTTTCATTGAACTTGAAACCTTTGTTTTCACGGGAGATCACGGCCAATTTAATCGTTTTTAATAAGTTTAAATACCCTTTTTTATATTACAACTGACAAAACTGATGGGACGAACCCTGAAGTATAACAAAAACGTTTGAACTACAAAAAAATAAGAATTTAATACAACAAACACGAGCATGTTTTTGTAATCTGTCTGTACTCAATATGTTTTTTTAACATTGGCTTAAAATGTATTAATATGTATGTACTCTTACCCGTTATACTTGAATCCATCACAATTTTTTTCACAACACACTCCAAAATAACAATATTCACTTTTAAAATAGTAGTTTTGCAAGAAATGTCTAAAAGCAATACGTACACTTAGAGCGACGATCAAGTTTAGACTGGCACACCTAGACGCGCGCTCCGAGTGGGACCGCGGGTTGGGTCGCCCATTGTTCTACGGGTTTTTACCAGTCTCAGATAGTCGTTTTTATTTACCTGAGACAAATTTTAAGAATTGTATTTTTGGCCGCCTAAATAGTAGAATTGCCCCTCCGTGCGTCGGTACTTAAAGGTTAAAGTAACTTTGTCTTTGAGCCATCGCCGTGGAATATTAAATGAAGCAACCTTATAATACTAACCATGGCAGATGGCTCGTTACAGTAATTAAACCTGTTTCCAGATTGATTAATTTAATATTGCCTGAAAATGTAGGAGATACCTACGTAAGTAAAGCTACTATCCAAGCCCCTAGCTACACGTCCCTTCCACATCCATTAATCTCTTCTTTAATTTTAAGTTCTAAAACATAATAATTTTCTAGAAAGAATGCATGTCATCGCAACCAACATTAAATTTTTTGTTTTTGTTAAATTTAATGTTTTTCTGTTTACCCATTTTGTTGGGCAGGAATAAAAATAATGGTGTAGGAAAATATGAATGTATTTAATACTGATGGTTTCCGTTAATCTAAACATCCGTCGGCGTCATTTCCATTAAGGCATTTTTAAACATTAGATTCTTGCGGTAATCGAACCCGCGAAACATTTCACTGCAGCTCCAGCCACTGCACCAATCATACAACAAGTAGCTTTCTTTTTTGAGGGCGGAAAATCAGGCATTGGTCTACAAAGTGACAGTGACGAATAGACTAAAATTAAGTAAGTACCTATACGAAATAATCCGGGTCAAAAGCGATGGTTTGTTATTGAAAATACATAATCAAGCTAAAATGGTCTTTATTACAATAATAATAATACATAATTATGAATCTCTTACATTAGGGTCTCCATTAGCCAATACGGGAAGACCCCATTTATATAATAAACGCTATATTTATGAGGTATTTATTCATTAACAACTTCTACAATAAATATTTAATCGAATTTGACTTACTAGAATACAATATCAAGGTAAATGATTGCTTATATTGGTGTAAACTGGTTAATCACAAATATTTTATTATTATTTAAAATCTTAAGTGCGATATTTCGTTTCAATGTTTATTTATTGGAGTTAAAGATTATTTTAATATCAAATTGTTAAGTGCTAGTCTAGGAGCCGTTTTAAAAAACTGTATCTGAATTATTAGTCTTTAAGTAACAACCGATGGATACTAACTTGTGCCGATATTCTAGAGAGTGCAAAAAATACTATGGAAGAACCCTTTAATGTATTTTATTCGTTATATAATTACATTATTGCATTTACTTTCTCTCTGAAGTTTTCATCTAGTGTCAAATGCGACGAAGATTATTTTATACCTCGTAATATCTAGCTGTTGACTGCAAATCTAACTTTGATTATAATATAATTCGAATCAACCAATCATCTACTTCCAATACTACGATATCACTAACTATGCTTAAACATTAATTTATTTGATTTCGTTAGTAATTAGGATTTTTCATTTTATTATCACATTTTTAATTTTAGACAATTTGTTAATTAAGACTAGCCACTGGATTTGGATAATCTAAGCTAGGTTTATCAAAAAATTCTATTAGAATTTAGCAATTACAAAACCACTTTCATACCATGGGACAATCTTAGAACGTTTAACACGTCCTATAAAGAGTAGCATATATTAAAAACTTAAAATAAAGGAATAAAGAAACAAAATAAAACAAAAAATAAAATAAATTCAAAAAAGAATTTTACTAAAGTACACACGACAGAGTGCATCAGATATATACATAATACATTTGTTTGTATACCCGTTTAATACAATCACGTAACATGTCCGTCTGTCCGAGCGACACATGAACATTGAACAACACTTCTATACATATATTGACATAATAACTACTTACAAATACACGCCATTTTACTTCCTATTACCGAAGGGAACAATTCACTTTCAAAAATCTACTTACTAAAAACTACGCGTCAATAATTGAGATGCAATTATCAACTTTATTGCATTAAGAACATGGTTTAATGTTTAAATCAATCACTTAGATTTTGTAGTTAGTGATTGTGGTTTGTACAAAGCATAGCAGCTTATCACAGTTGAGTTTTCAAGCAATTTTTGCAATAGAACAGTTACCGGTTTAGCGTACCATTCCTTCGGTAAACGGGGCACAAACTGATAGGAATATATATAGTCTTGTATATTTATGAACATAGGATAATATACTGACATATAGACGCCTTGGTACAAGTTTATTTTGTGTTTAAAGTATTTGAAACGAGACCGCGTTCGGCGCTCTGATTGGCCGGCTCCAATAAATCAATCAATTACAGCGCCGAACGCGGTCTCGTTTCGCTTACTTGACACGTAAAACAAACTTGTATTAAGCCCTCGGGTTCCATCAAAACACTATAACAAAATTGTACACGCCCTATATTACTTTGGCAAGAACTCACCGAATTCAACATTAAAAAACTTGACATCACAATTATATTATAAGTAATTATTTGCATTCGAATTGTTTGTTTGTCATGATATCAAAACGTATATTTTATTGGATTGTATTAATATAACATAGAAATTGAATAAATACTATTATTATTACATAGTGGTGGAAGATTTTAATTAATTCGCAATCATTTGAGATATTATCTTTTGTCGGTAAACAGGGATTAAAGGAATTGTGGAAGCATTTTGATTATTTAAACATTTGGTTTTTATTTTTTGTCAAATACTTACTTTGTTGCATCGATGTGAGAAAATATCTCAATGATATCGTAAATATGCATAGAAGAATGATAATTAAAAATGAATAGTAGAATTGTAGGATTTGATGAATCATTCATATTATTTTGTCTTTTATTATACAGCATTATTATTAGTCACTAGATTTAAAAAGGCATCTGGTAAGTAAAGATCATACTGCTGTCGTTATAATATTAATAATCTGTGAAAAAGTCGCGTTTAGCGTCCAAGGCATTATTCTAATACCTAAACCTACTCAAAATTGAAAAAAGCTACATGATAACATTTTTTTGGTACGTAATTTGTTTTTTTCTCAATATCACTTAAAATCTACGTTTGATAGATTATACGTAATCATGTATTTAGCAGTTTGTTTTCTTATCTCAAGTAAATCTTAAATTCTAATATCGGAATAATGCACATTAGTTCTCAGATGAATTTCTAAAAATATTTTCTAATAAAATACTATATACGCATAAATAATGTTACAAATAATCTATTCACTTGTTTTATAGGCTGAAGCGACAATACCTTTGCTTGTTGATTAAAAAAAGAGCTGAAGCAAAAGCGTTTACTGTTCAGCCTTGTTTGATAAAACTACGAGTAGATAGATCTCTTATTTCTGATGTTTGCATCATGGACAGTCTTTGGTGATTCTCTTTTTTATAAAGTTTTAATTACCTTATCAATTTGGAAGTATTTTTTAATTAATCTGATGAATTGAATTTTAAATTGTTGATATTTTGTTACGATCATACACTGTCAAGTTCGCATTTCAATCCTAGAATGAAATAACTATTTGAAATAGCCTACAGTCTACAATTAAATAAGTAGTAGTTTTAAACAAATTGAATCACCAAACCATAGCATTCTGTTTTTGACAGTGTACGAACGTCACAAAAACGTTTTCAGTTATTCGTACACATTCATTTATCCTTATAAATACCATTCATTGATTTGAAAACCAGTTTTTATGACTACAGGTACTTCTAAAGTCACAACTTTGTCCTCCACACACAAGATCTGCAAAAACTACACTTATACAATTGAAATACACGACACTATTTGATTACAAAATATTCATTCCAAACTTTACCTTTCAAATTGTTTTCAACTCTTATGAAACGAAGCTACGTTCTTATTACTTGAGCTATACAATAACGATCTTCTTGTCCAAAGCTTTAGTGCCCAGATTGCCTTGCACTATATGTGATAATTCGATTCCTCTTCAAACACTACTACCTCCTATGTTAATATACTAAGTTGTAACACACACGAACGATTGAAAAGAAATAATATTTTTGAGTTATTGAAGGAAACCTTTTTCGCTATTTTAAAATACTAAAAGTACTTTTTATCTGTAGATTTTCACTTCACTATATTAAAAATACAAAATTACATATATCAAAACAATAGCACGATTCAAATAATAATAAAAATTAATAAAAAAAGGCTTTTACTAAAACAAAACATGTTTTCACTATTTTGAAATTCAATATTCTATTATTATAATTTTGTCAGATTTCAAGATTCTAGACACGTCTAATTCTCATACACACGATAGTAGCCAATCAACAGCTTAGCGATTATTGCGACGTTTTATCAACCAATCACCGTACTTTAAAAACCTTAATGATAAAAACCTTTAAAATTTCCGAAATACGCTAACACTGAGCAAAATTTTGATTTGTTTTTTAATATAGGTACAAATATTTCAAAGGTTTTTATCAAGAGCGATATACATCTCAATTTAAAGATACTGTCTGCTTGCTTGCTCGAAAATAGACCTTATGATCAAGCGTATTCATATTCCTGTCTTTATTACACAGTCACCAGTACATCAAGCTACAAATTACTTATAGTCGGTACTGAATTAGAATTATATACATGGAGCTACTAACATTGGCCCTTCAAGACCACTAACGGCTGATTCCAATATTCTACCTTAATCCAAAAGTTTAAGATTGATTATTGACTGAAACTCCATACAACTAAATGTCAAAAATCGATACATATCCACAGATTTTGGTTTGAGATAAGACAGTAAAAATAGCCGTAAGACCGATACCAAAATTTTGTTTAGCTTAGGCATTATGTAACTTCTGTGACCTTAGTAAGAGTTGATTTTATGTTTAAAGTAATAGAAACGAGACGGCGTTCGTTCTGATTGGTTGGTTCATTAGAGCCGGCCAATCAGAGCGCTGGACGCGTACGCATACACGCTGAGTGACTATAAACGACTTACAAGTCGGCATTGCTCGTGCTTGATGACATCTGCTCTACCAACCGTTGTTTAGAAGCACAGTTATTTTCCTTTAACACGTCACTGAGGTTTTCACAGTTAAGCAGTTTCAGTTCAGTGTTTTTGGTTTTTTTTTTCGATTCACTCACGATACAGCTGCCCTAACCCTAAGTCCTTGCAAGATTACTTGGTAGGTTGATATAATTTAATTGACGTCGATGGAATGTCCGACTTCATTGTCATAGACGTTCGTATCAACGAAAACCGACGTCTTAATGTACTTTTCGAAGCACGGTGTTACTCTAATTTCTACAGTTAATTTTCAACGTTAACGCATTGTGATAAAGTGAAATATCTATTTAACAAAAGTGTAGCTTGACGTGCTGGGCCGTAACAAACATTCCTTTTACACATAATACATAGAAACCAATCACCTTATGATAGTTTAGACCATGAGTTTCCCATTCTGTTTGATCTCCCCATTGCTCTTGTTGTTAGTGTCTGGTTGACGTTTGGTACAATGTTTGATGCAGCGCAGGAGTGGAGACACGAGGAGTACCAGGCCTGACACACCGATGAAGACTCCGGCTAAGTAGAATGATAGGTCATAGGAACCTGTCACGTCGTATACCCAACCTGGAAACAGAGATATGAATAGTTTTGAGGTATAGTTGGGAGTATAATGTGGGTATACAATACACATACCATAGGTAGAATAATATATCATGGGGAATGAACAATACTTATATTTAGTCATAGAAAATAATTACCAAAAATAAGCAGAGGTGCTTATTTTTACATGACACGGTTTTTAAACACTCTCTTCCACACCATGTACCACACTGAGTCGAAATACAAATATCCAGCTATTTTCAGATTATATTACAAAATACTAACCAGCTAAAGGTGGCCCAATTAAATTGGCAACTCCTTGAATGAGCAACAGCAATCCGTAGGCATTGGTGAACTTCTCCAAGGTGATCTGTTCCACCAGTATGATGCTGGTGAGGGAGTAGTTGGCTGCGATGCAGGCTCCGAAGGCGCCTGATGCTGACGCCAGGGTGAAGTAGCTGCCCAGCAGTGGCATGATCAGGGTGACCAGGCCACAGGCCACCATACACCCAGCGTACACTATGCTCGCGTTCACACACTGGAAGTCGCCCACCCAGCCTAGTAAGATCTGGAATTGAGATAAGATGTGATTAATGAGGATATTTTGGTAAGTAACAGTGGATGGTTAATAGTAATTAGAAATAAAATAAAGAAGCATAATATCATTATGTTTAATTTTTTATAGGATAGAAGACATGAGAAGATGGAATACCTAATGCTAAGTGATCAGTGTCACCCAAGAACTATCTCCAGAGCCCGTAGCACTAAAGGAGATACAATAAGCCTTTTTACAAAGAAGCGTGTTCTTTTATTTAGAAGGTTTAAAGATCGTAGCAGTTCGAAAGAGTTTATCTAATTGGCATAGATCTACATGTTGCAAATTATGTCATTAGTTTCTTAACTCGTCGAGTACCGTCATTATAGACACAATTATAGAACAATATGTTGCGGTCACCGGTGACCGCTTGATATTTGACAGTTTAAGATTCGAAGCTACTCTATGCAAAATAGGTATAGAAACTAAATCCTTGTGTGTACTGCTAGAGAGTGGAATTCTTTGCCTGACTGTATTTCCTGACGAGTATGACCTGGGTGTCTTCAAGGCCCGAGTGAATAGGTTGCTTATGGGACGAAGTGCTCCATCGTAGACTGCGTTATCGCTTACCAGGCGAGATAGTGGTCAAACGTCGGACCATCAATAAATATAAAAAAAAAAAACAATCCAGTCTCACTTAGGTAAGTACACTCACTTAGCAAAATATACGATGATCAATTATTTGCATGAGTACTGTTATGAACAAGGTCTTATTGTAAATTACAATCATCAATCCTTACATTGTTGTTAACACAGACCTAAACTTGTAAATTGCAACCTAAGCAATCCTTACATTGTTATTAACAAAGCCCTATACATGTAAATTGCAATTAAAGCAATCCGTACATCCTGTGGCACTTACAAGCGCAAGCATATTTATCGACTAAGGGATAACCCCCTACCACTAGCCATGTAGGATAAAATATACATCTTAGTTACTATATAGAGTCACTTTAGAAAAAGATGTTCAACTACTAACACCGTTCTATATCACACGGTAATTATTGTATTCAGAAGTAGTGAAGTGTTAATTAAAGAAATTATTAGCAGTACTTGTGGTGTCATTTCCAAAAAGGACTCCCGGAGCGCCATCCTAACAGTACGAAAGTTGTATTAACCAATCGACCTTCAATACAGTCCAAAAAAACCTTTGGATTACATTGCAAATGTTATGTAATATTGACCTTTAGAATAAATTATAAAAATCGCATTCACATCAAGTTGTGTCATACAATTCAATTGATGGTTACTATAAAAAATACACATGTTAAGGGAAAAACAAGAGAAATGGACGAAAACTATAACGGAATGGTACCCAAGAGATGGTAAAAAAAGGGCGACAAACTAAACGATGGGAGGACGACATATAAAATGTGGCTGGTCCAGAATGGATTCGAGTAGCAAAAGACAGAGAGAAATGGAAATCTTTAGAGGAGGCCTATGTCGAAAGACAAGCTGTTTTTGAACCGAATGCCGATATAAGAAGATATAAGTAAGATAAAACATTTGTAAAGTGTAGGCAGTAAGCTATTTGATGTTAATGTTAGTAAGTTTAAACAGCAATAAAGGCTAATTTTATTATATAAAAAATACTATGTTTAGTGACATTCGTGGTTATAATTGAGATTATACAAGAGATTTTAAATGGCAGAGAGATTTCTAACTGTGACAGTTTATCACTTATGCGTTTTTTTATTACTATATTAGATTTTTAATTTTCATACCCTGTCATCACTCCAATCGGCCAAAAGGAGAATAGCAGTATACACAAAAACACGAAAGCACACGTTCACTTTGAGACATTGTATTACAAGTACGAATCATAACATCCTTATTTCCAATCGAGAATAAATTACAACAATAATTACATAATTTATCAGTACTTTACTGACACATGCAAGCTGTGTGCTTACGTAACAAAGTCTGTCTGTTATCAGTCGTATATAAAATGATTTAAATGGGTCAAGTTAAATACTGCTTACTAATAATAACCGTGATAAGAAAAGGGTAACTCTCGCAGTACAATAAATACTAAGTAAATATTTTTAAAAATAGGGAGTGAATTTATAGATTACTTAAAAATTTACGTCTTTTTTTGCTACTACAGAGAATCTAAAATACATTTTTCGCCCTAGTTTTTAAACCTGCGAGACCCTTCTGAGGGAATTGACACTATCCTTCGTAATATATTTTGGTAAATCAAGAATTAAATAAATTATGTAGTTGACGTTTAACATACGTTTAAAGGATCAGTTAATGTATCAATGAGATTGTAAGAAACATTTTTTTAAAGAGTAATGAGTGCCTGTGTCGTTCTTCACTATTCGAAACTAAACTTTGGAAAGAGCGCATACCTTTGCAATCAATACTGCTGTTATGCTAAATAAAATAATTATTAAGTAGGAAAAAGTGAACTAACCTCTCCGAACATGTTCAGTATTCCAATAATGGAGATGAGCATAGACGACTGCGACTCGTTGAAGCCCATGCTCATTCCACTGTCAGCAATGTACACGTACGGTACGTCATACCACATGTACAGCAAGAAGTTTGAGATGGCGAATATCAGGAATGCAGGGTTCAAGAAGTGGGAGAAGTCCAGTACATCCACTGCCAGGTCCCAGAAGTCCCACAGGCCCGCGTACCATTGCACCTGGAAATGTGAAAAATGTTTGTTGTTTAGGAGGTAATATTGAAAGTGGATAAATTCTATGCCTTGTAGAATGTAATGTAAAGACAAAGTCGACCATTGGGTAGCTATTCACAATAAACTCAAAAAATACTTAATAGAATTTTATCCGGTTTTAATGAATATTGAGTATACCTTGAATGTGAAAACGCGTAATAAACAGTGCACTATATATCCATATGTAACATATTTTATACCTGTATTATGCAAATAAATGATTTGATTGATTGATTGATTGAATACAATTTCAGCAGTAAAACTTGTAGCATGAAGTTTATTCCTCGAATGTTATTACTTTAAACTATTTGTAAAAGTCTACGTTTAACTTGGTTTACTCAGTTGTGACATTAGCGACATTGCATCTGTATTACATAAAGAGAATCACAAAATAATAGTAATTTGTATTACCTTTTCTTTGGCAATGGTGGTCATGGAGTTCCTGAAGATGTTAGGGCAGGACGACGCTCTGAGTCGGTAACGGTTGATGTTAAGCATGGCGCCGCGGTACGTCAGCGAGTGACGGTGCACGCGCAGGTCCTTCAGGAACGCGGGCGGCTTCTTCGTGGAGCCCGTCGCCTGCCGCCGCAGCCACAGCGACAGCGCCGCCTTGTCGTTGATGGGCGCCGAGCTGGGGGCCGGCGGCCGCGACGTGCTGGTCGGCGACAGCGCCCCAGGCGACCCCACTCCCGGCGACATCAGCGCCCGCGGCGGGGACTGCTCATGCAACCGCCCGCTGTCACTGAAGCTCCTCGACGGGAGCATCACTCCCGGGTAGTTCTGCGCCAAGATGGCGTACGCTCGACCCCTGTTCGACATCAACTCAAATACTTCTAACGACACTCCTTCGCCTCCCGTCATGAATGTTGGCAAGTCCACTAGAGAACTAAACTGAGGAACGATGGGTGATGTTACAGTTTCTATATCAACTGTTTCATTCGCTTTCGTAGAGCCAGCAGCACTACTCTTACTGTCCGAAAAACTATCTGCAGAAGATGCTTGATAACGCTTTAACCGTTTCCTTTCTCTTTTTCTTTTCCTTTCTTTGGCCCTTTCCTCATTCATTGTGGTTGTCCACGGCAAGTCTCTGAACAACAGTCCACACACTGCCATATTTAAAAATAAGCCAGCTAATATTAACGTGGTGCCACGCCACCCATATTCATCTAATAATACATAGGTCAGGGGCGCGAACACAAATGTTCCGATGCCACTGCCACACACCGAAATTCCGGTGGCTAAGGAACGTTTCTTCTCAAAGTAATAAGCAACTATAACTACTGCTGCCACGTAACACAGACTCAATCCGAATCCGGCCATTATACCGAACGTCAAAAACAATGTCTCCATATTATCTACGAATGCCGATATGACGAATCCTATAGCAGCTAGTATCGAGCCAAATATCGTCATCCGTCGGCACCCGTACCTATCCGTAAGGAAGCTCGCAATGGGCCCGGATAACAGCGGCATCGCCATGAAGATACCGGCGATCCAGGCCGTCTTGCCTTTACTCTCGCCGAAATACTCCAGGAAATGTGGGAAGAAGACACCGAAGCTGAACGTGATGCCATCGGCGATGAGATTGACCATAAAGGAGGCGAACACGACGACCCAGCCCCAGCCACCGTCGGGCGGGCGCGCCTCAGCAATGGACACGTCCTCGTCGTCTGAGGAGCTGGAGCCGGTGCTGGAGCCCGACACGGACACAGCCGCGGGGGGCGACTGCGCGTCGAACTGCACGTGCAGCGGCCGCCCGTTGTGCTTGCGCGCGACATTTTCACTGATAGCACTGACACTGAGCGGATCCCGGAGCAAGGGCTCGCTTTCGGGGATAGAAGCTAACGCGCGCGGCGCGGGCCGCGGAGTCTCTGGCTCGTTTAAGGCCTCCGCGGGCGGGGCTGAGGTATCGATGGTTTCGCGGGGTCCTCCTTGGAGCGGCCGATGGTTCGCGCAGTCCGGCGTCGGCGAGAGGCGCGCGCGGTCCATTCCGGCAGGGCGCGACGAAACTGCGCACGCAGCGTGTGCAGCGCGTGATCAGCAGTCCGCCGGGCTTCCATGCGGACACCACACCACCGCCGTGACCTCATGCTGAAACAACACAACACTCTATTTACTCATACATACAACACAACGAGAAAACCTTAATACTAGGTACTTAATTGCTTTATAACTGAGACCCTGATCAACCCTACAAACGCGCACAGTAAACACAAGCACACATCTCACCACTTTTAAAGTTATTCGATATTCCACTGCGGATTTATTTGATTTATCTCCAAGTAATGTCTTGTCACCTGACCTACGCACATACGAATAAACCGAGCGCCCAGTCCTCTCTAATTGGCTCTTTTCTATCAACTGAAATAGGAAACGAGTATAATGGACGTTCGTTCATCTGCAGCGGATGCTCCAAGTGCTAAATCGTCGATCTGCAGAGACCGTTGATTGGTGGACAATGGACGCGCCGAGAGGCCATGCAAAGACCGCTTCTTGTATTTATAGATGTGAATATGAATATTGAGGAATATTCAACTGTCGTTTGTTGAGTTACAACAAGGCGTATACACGGTTTCTATATATTTGTTACGATCTATCGCAATATAATTTCTATGAGAGCTGCACAGTACGATACACCTTTGTTAAACGGTTCATCATTGCTTTTATTCAAAATTTATAGATACATATTAAGCTTTTCTACCTAGATCTAGATTGTAAACGAAATAAGCGTGGCATTAAGAAGAACACTCAGCCGGCCCTAAGATTTTCAGTCTCAGTAGCGACCTCTGTCCTAAATCCTAATTAACTCGACCTCTGCCACTTACACTTACATGTCTCCGACGTAATTGTTTTACTCCAGGGCCGACAATTATTGCGTACATGTCAGATAGATAGGTATTGTGTTAGATATAATTATTATAAGATGGTTCGAGATCTTAATAAATAATTATTGCTATACAGTTGATTATTGCATAGCCACGTACCATGGATTTCTATACGCAAAGGTAAACACACGAGATTATCAATACGGTTTATAATGCATAAAATACGTTTTATATGCTATGTTCTCACATAGGTACACAGCAACCCTAAATGAAATATGATCACTTTGAAGCGGCTCATTTTTATGGTGACCCTTAGGCCCTCCGCCCTCGGGACACATTTTTTACTCCCCCGGTGAAAAAGTTTAATAAAAACAAAAAGTTAAAAACGCCCTTAGAGAATGTAGCTTTTTCGAGAACATTTTTTTATCATCGGGGAATACACGAGCATGTTTCAAAAGTTGTTGGACACGTCTGGCAAAGGCAACCTGGCTTTTGTTACGACGCGCGACGACCTATAGACCTAAGAACCCTTGTGGCCTTTTTGCAATGAGCCGTTGAAGTTCTCTCAGAATATCACCGTAGGTACTTACACAGTCAGCTGATTCACTTTAAAATTACTAAAGTTCCGACATTTTGCTGCGTAATGTTGAAGTTTTCATGAACTTGAACACAATAACGGGTCCCATGTACTCAAATAACAAATAACTAGTTTTAGTTCAAACAATATAAGTTTGGAAGTACAGACCTATATTTACGGTGTTACGTTCAACAAGGAACGTTCCAAATGAAGGACAAATACACGAATTGGGAGGTTTGTTACGTGATGTTAATTAACTAATTAGTGTGTCAACGTTGTCGTAATCCTTCGTCACACTTCAAGCTCCTGGTACAAGCCCTGTCACTCGGTAGCCTCCCAGCAGGATTTAATATCGTGTTATGTTACATTTTCCTTTGAAATAGTCCACGTGACAAATATTTCGGTAGGGACAGTTTTTGTGACAGATTCAGGAGATTCACTATGGCCCTGACACGTTTGTTATAGCGTCGAGTCAACAGATTATAGGTATGGTTGTAATTAGTTACGTTGGATAACATCAATAACTACCAAAACAATCATTCTTATTAATTTACGACATTAATAGGAATTATGGAAGATATGGAAATATATTCCAAAATAGATATGATAATGGGATGTGTAGTTTAAAACTTCTTAACAGTTTAACGGTAGATCCGGGAATACCTACATTTAGAATATTCTCTGAAACACCTTGGCTCTATTTTTGGCAGCGTATTGAAATTTTTCATTAAATTTTCATACCTAAACGCGTCTGTGGTGAATATGCGAGCTATGTCCTGTTCGGTGAACCGCATTGCACCATGTATCATATGACCTGTTTCTGAACAGGGTCACTTGCGCTGCTAGCTTGCATTAGCCTATATTTCTGATTAGCCTGCATGTTCAAAACGCGTATACAGCCTGTTGTTGCCACGGTAACAGTACAACGTAACGAAGAGTGAGCCCTGCTCGATCATGAATTAGAATTTCTAAACAACCGATGTAATATTTAAACAGCTTTAGGTACTTTATAGTGCTTACGGACTGCCTTCAGTAAATCTAGGCTAAGGCGTTGTTTGCACAGTCTAAGAAACAATTCCAGTCTCAGTTTATGTTCATGTTTGCGTATTGCGTTGAGTCGTCAAGTCGCCTGTAACTCCACTCGGCTTTACAAACAGGTCACATAACAAAAAAATAACGATGGAAGGTCACCCAATAACATGTTTACCATTTAGAACTTTTGTGGTTATTCACTGTTACAATTCCAGTTCAGTTCGTAAAAGTTAACAATTTATAGAATACAATTCGTAGCGTGCGTTCTGCTGAATGTTAGAGAATTTCGTTGTTTTTCATTGGAAATAACAAACAGCGATTCGATTGAATGGCAAAGGGTTTATTGGAACCAGCGTTAGCGTTAGCACATAACTGGACACGGATCGCTGCTTTGTTTTATAAAGTGGATTGAGCGATCTTTTCACTCTGAAAGCTTTTTAGAATAGTTTAGTCGTGTACCTACATAGTATGTGAGTGACACAACAGAATTTAAATAAACACTGGGACGACGTGATCCATCGTATACCACATCATCGCTTACCACCAGCCGAGATAGTGGTCAAACGTCAGCCCATCAAATATATAAAAAAACACTTAAGTCATCGAATGGAATTTCTACCATGAAAGAAGGAAAATGGAAAGTTTCTCTAAGATGAACTTATGTCAAATAGGTAAATCAATGCAAGATCGAAAATAAGTACGTACATGTGAGACAAAGATGCAGATTTGAATTAGGTAAACACATAGAAATTCGAGTTTGTTTTATTCAAATCCTTGAGGACGAAGCACTAAACTTTCTTTATTTTTCAGTAACCGAGTAAAAGAACATTAAAACTTTACGACCATGAAAAATATACGAAATACCTATGTAACGTGGGTTTGAATCGGACTTGCCCTTTAAATATTTAATGTCTCCTGACCGGGAGCCGGGAACATGTGTTGTGTACGTACGAATCTTAGCTACGCCTCCGCTGTTTATAGGAGAAATGGGTAATAAATCCAATTTTCTGACTTTGACTGGTAGCTAGATACACATGAATCCATTACATTTGAAATAACAGACGTTGAAAAATAAAATACGTACTTTAAATTGTTTGAAAGCAGATGTATTTGGTTTCGTTTATGAGTATTATTACTAGGATAAATCGATTGTCATACAATTTGTAATGACTTTTAGGTCTTTCGGTATGCAAAACTAGATAACCATGTGTGTATAAATACCTACACAGTCTCACATATAAGACAAATGTAATTAGGTACTGTATTCATACACGTATTACATTAAATGAAAGATAACAAAAGCAAAAAAACCGTATTTGTAAATGCTTTACTCCAAGCTCGGGTCAAAGACCTTCTTAAAACAATTGCCTACTAAAGTACAAGACACATTAAGGCGCATTAATTAGTATTTAACTATAAACTACATCTCCATTAGTTGAGATAGAATAAATTGAGTACTTTAAAACAATTAGGCTCGTATTAGCATAATAGGTCTACTTAGGACGAATCCAGTAATTTATTCCAGCAGCCATCTAATTTTAAAGTGATTAGAAGTATTTTTGTTTAGTTTAATTATCTTATTTTTTGTTTATTTGTTGTTCTGTTTACACAACTAATGTTTTTTGTTAATGATCTTTTAAATTAAGACAAGATAATTAATCAGAAAAGTATAAGTAAGCTCTTCCACTTTTTTCATTTGTTTTTGAAGGGTGAAAATATAGGGTATAGAACTCCATCGGAAGCCTGAACTGTCGGTCTTTTACTATATGAAATCACACTCATACATTTCTAATACCCCTTAATAATGCTGCATAAGATTCAACTTTTTGACTACAAATACACTACGATGAAACTATCTACAAAAAAATGCAACATGTCTCCAAATTCCAATAACTAGTTCTACTCGTACAAAACATCGACGATACTAGACTCTAGAGCTCCTCTTTCCATTGCACTAGACCTTGGTTCGAGGTCGACACTGTAATATATTTTTATTTTAGAACACAATGTTCACTTCCTAGATTATTTCTTTATGTCTGTAATTATTATTCATCACAGTTTTTCAAAGTGAACAGTGAATTATTAGCGCAGGCGCATCTGACACCCAGCTTTTTAACACGTTAACCGCCGCGTAGGTCATCGGACATTTACTTTTAAAAAAAACAACGTTAGCGGAAGATTTGCCTTCAAGAGTTTTCTGTCGGCAGTTAAAGGCTTAATTTTGGTTCAGTGGATATAGTTTTAACGATTCTTGTAATGTGATCAAATGCCATATGGCAACGAAATAACATAGTAAATATCGTCTTATGCGGGATTCGGAACAAACTATTATCACCACATCTTCAGGTGGTGTTTGTTTAGAAATCTCACAATAACAGGCGCTAATAACAACACATGGTTTGAGACACATGACAAACCGACTGGCCACCTTCCAGACACAGTTTACGTCAAATACTATAAATAATACAAATGTTTGGCAATACGAACTCGTCGCCAGAAAGGTGGGTGAAATGTCTATTTTTCGTAATTATATTTAATTTACAATTTTACGACAA